AAAATGACTCTTAGAGCTAGTGCTACCATCTTGGCACCAAGCTGAGGATGAAATCAACAGGCAGAACAGCAGATCAGAGAAGAAGTCCTAAGTCCTTTAAGACATCATTGAGCTGCTGAATCACACAGCCCCAAAGTGTAAGTCACCTCTGGATGTCCAGGTAAGGAAAAAAGAGTTTAAATCAACTGAAGTTAGAGTTTTTGTTAGATGCAACCAGGAGCATTGTTGCTGAGCCAGCTACCTGGCCAGGCTGGAGGTATAAATGGAAGTGGGACACCTTGAAGGAACTTTCCCTCTACTAAGGAATTCCAAGTTCTTTGTTATATGAGGAACAGGCTGAAAACTACAGAAAGACACGCCCAAGGCCACACAGTGGGGAATCAAGAGCATACAGGCCTACCTGCCTTCCGGCGGGTGCCCAGCACCTACTCGACCACAGCCACGTGCCCTTGAGATCCTGAGTCAGCATTGATGGGGGGGAGGGGGTGCTTGTAGGGTGGGGGCCTCAAAGTTCACCGACCCAAGCCAACGTTCAGTTCTGCTGAGCGAGGGCAGGCAGATACCAGAGACTTCCTTGAATTTTCATGTTGAAATCATGTCCTTGGAGGAAAAAAAAATCAAAGTCCCCCAAACCGTAATCAGGGCAGTTACAGGTAATGACTGATTGCAATAGTTTCGGAACAGATTTTTCTGATTGTAAAAACTTGTCCAAAGTTCCTCTCCAGGCCAGCAAAGCGGGGCGGACTCCTAAGAGCGGAGGTGAACAAGGCCCTGAGGTCAGAGGCTCCTGGTGCTCTCCACACAGAGTAGGAAGCCCCTCCTCACTCTGACCTCCTTCCTCCACCCTGGGAGCATGTGTGAGGCAGGCAGGTGCCTCTGTAGGAGGGACTGGGAACGGGCCCAGACACTGCCTGGAAAATGGTGACACTGGCCGCACACAGTTCCTATCCCTAGAAATGCCTTCCCCTTGCCCAAACAGAAGACCCTTCTAAACATCGAAGCTGTCAAGCACGCACTGATCCCACTGAACCCTGAGCTGTTCCAGGTGAGGGGTAGCCAGCAGTGGATAAAACAAGTCCTCACATGGGTAGAGAAAAAGGCAGGCACGTAAGCGAATAAATGCATGTAATGTCAGGTGGTTGTGAGTACCCTAACAAAACCCAAACCACAGAAAGGGAGGGAGAGCGATGGTGGTTTTGAGAAGGGGCCATCAGTGAAGACTTCCCGAAGAGGTCACATTGTGACAGAGAAACTTTAATGAATCAAGAGCCAGCCATGCAAATGTCTGGAGAGGGTTCCAGGCAGAGGGAAGCACAAGCAAGGTTCTAAGCCTGGTTTGAAGACCAGTAGGAGGTGGTGTTGCTGGAAAGCGATCTGGAGGAGGCGAGGCAGAGGAGACGACGTTAGAGAGGTGACAGGAGGTCCGATCATGAGGCTCTTGGGGGTCACGAGGAGCATGTTGGTCTTTCCTCTTGCATGGGATTGTAGCCTTTGGAGGGTTCGGAGCAGGCAAAGGACATGGCCCAACCCTGGCCCTGAGCACCACCCTGGCTGCTGTATCCATCCATGTAAGCCCCTGGGACATAGTAGGTACTCGCTAAATGTCAGTGGTTAGTATCACTACTTCAGCCTCACCGCTGCACCCTTGAGGCCATGGAGGGCACAGATCAGAAGAGCCCTCTTGTGCCCCGTATGGAGGGGGTGCTAAGATGCGTGAATAATCAAAGGAGTGACTCAGTACGTGAATGAGTGAGCAAGCAGGAGTGGTTCTGAGGACAAGACTCATGCCCCAGACAGGTGGCTGGGACACACGGTCGCTGCAGCCCCTTGCCGAGGTCAGTCACAGTGTGAGAGAAGGGTGCCACTGGCACCAGCAGGAAGGTCGGGCAAATGGCTGTTTTGGCAAGCACCGTCATCTAGGGCCTGAGGATGTACAGGATGCAACTGGGTCCAAATTTGGGTTGCAGGAGCCAAAGCTGCACGTGCCAACCACCAGTGCAGGGCAGGCAGATGACATGGGCACCAATTTCTAGGATCACCAGGATGTTTAGAGACTCACTCTAAGTCCCCTGGGAGCATCACAGACAGGTATTGGACACAAAAAAGAAACCCAGAGAATGTAACCCAGCCAGGCATTAGTATCCAAAATTTGGGTTCTAGGCTGTACGTGGGAGGTGGCAGATGGTTTGGGGCAAGGGCAGTCATTGAGGGCTTCCTGGAAGAGCTGCAGCCTGAGGTTAAACTGAAGATACCAGAGAGCTGGAATTGCAGGCACTCCCCTCTCCTTGCCTCCAGCTGCCCTGTGAACTCTCCTACCACCGAACCACATCTAATATCCCTCCCCACTATCCATGGGCTAATGCCTTGGCTTTGCATTCAGAGTTCCCATTTCCAGAAAACGACCTTAACTTACCCCCACCCCCGCCTTGTCTCTTCCAAGCAGCCACACCTAGGGTACACGCTGTGCCCTGAACACATCACGCATCTGCTGCCCCAGTGCCTTTGGTCATGCCGTTTGCTCTCTCAGGAATTCCCTCTCCAGCCCCACTTTACCTAACTATTACTGCCTTTTCCTCAAACCCCAGCTCCTGTGTCCAACTTCAGGGAAGCTCCACCCTCCGATCTATCACACACTTGGGGTGAGCTGCATGCCAATCTCGAATTGGTTAGGTTTAGTCTCTTTGGGGTGATCATTCTGTACCAGTTAGGCTTCTGGTCCTGCTGTCATTGTCTTTGGTAGTGCCTCTTTCACCCCCAGATGTGTTCCAGCTCAACAACCAATTACATGGTTACCCTGCACTGCCTCCACCCTTCTCTGTCCAACTGAAATCCTTGGGGCAGGAACTATGTCTCGTTCTTCGTTCCAGGAGGGGCCAGGATACTACTCTGACACATCTGGATAGAGTCATTCACTCGCACAAGTGTTTTCTGAGGTGTGATGGGGCAGAGCAGCAGATGGACAGGCCCCTGTTCTCCTGGCCCATCAGAGGTGGAAGGAAGGAGAGAGGAAAACAAGACCATTTCAGGGAGTTGTGATGACAGGGAGATCATGAAGGGGAGGAGAGAAGAGACAGAAGGGGGTAGAAGATGCCTTTAGACAGGGGAGGTGGGGAAGGCCTCTGGAGAAGTGGCATTTGACTGAGTCCTGAAAGAATTGAGGGAGCCAGAGATAAGGATAGCTGCAGGTAGACAATTGCAGAGAGAGAAAGGCAAGTTCAAAAACCCGGAGGCCAGAACGTGTTCAGTGTGTTTAAGGAACAGCAGAGAGGCAGGTGCAGGGTGAGTGAGGAGATCAGTGGGAATGTCAGGAGGAGCCAACCAATGTGCTGGGCTCTGTCAGTCATGGTAAGGAATCAGGACTTTTTTTTCCCTGCCAATGGAGGGTTCTGGATCGGGGAGTAACATGATCCGAATTCTTTTTTCCCCAGACTGAGAGGTTTCTATTTTTCAGTCATGCAGATAGAAGACAAAAGTGCCATGAATCCTCTGCTGACTGGATAAAGCCACCGCATGAATATTTCTCTGTTTAGAAGCAGACACATCAGGTACAGCGATGTCCATTACAACATGGCCACAGAATCATCAAGACCTTACAGAAGCCTTTCTGGAGGTTACCCTCCCAGGGCAGGGCAGCAGTTTCCCGTCGTAAGTCCCGTGAGATCTGGCCAAGTAGAGACAGGTCCCATGGCAAGAAACACCCCTCCTGTACTCCTGTATTCCTGGTAGCCTAAAACCCCCAGAGACTGGGGCTGGATTCTGTGAGCCCAGTGACTGGGGCTCAGGAAGGTAGCTTCTGCCTTGAGCACATCATTGCCCCTGCCTTGAGCACATGCTCGGATATGCCAGTGCAGCAGAGTTCCTAGGGGCTTGGGGGCTTCTGCGGCTGTTGAGGTCCTTACAGACCTGGGAGTAGGCAGCAGTGGTGGGAGCCTAGGTAGAACTCAGAAAGGGTGACAGCCAAACACTGGCAGTATACCACAGATCTTGATAAGCGGACAGCAGCCCGTGAGGCGGTAGGGGTAAGAAAAGCAGTGTGATTACAAAGAATGCCTTGCCCACTGCTTCACGCCCTTGACCTCATCCATGCCCAGTAGTTGTCTCCTGCCGTGTGCCCATTCTACCAGATGCCCAGGAGCCAGTAGCCTGGGGTGGCCTGACTTGTGCTTCTGCAGTTCTGAGGCCCTGAGGCTATGGAATGTCCAAGCCTGGCTGACAGGCAGCACCAAATGCATCCACTTCTTGAATGAGGAGACTCAGCTTGCCACAGCCAGTATTCTGGAGGCACAAATATGAAGTCCAACATGGTGTGGCCTTGATAGTGGACCCCAAAGAGGCACTGGTACTCCTAGCGATGTCTTGTGGGTGCCCCTGTCAAAAATGGGGGAATGGGGTGCCTGGCTGGCTCAGTCAGGAGGGCATGAGCCTCTTGATCTCAGAATCGCTGAGTTCAAGCCCCACATTGGGTATAGAGCTCACACACACACACACACACACACACACACACACACACACACACAAAGCGTGGGGTGGGAAGTCCATGATCAGAAGTAGGCCAGGGCCACCAAGATGACGGCAGTACCCGTCCATAATATTGAGATAATACTGAGTGCTTAGGTAGACACTGTGGCATGTGACAGCTATGTGATGCCCAAAGGCCACATGGAAACAGAAGAGCTTGGCCACGGAGGCCACAGTCTTGGACCAGAGTCCGCTGAATATTCAGAGGGGCCAGGGTGCATGAAAGAGAAAGCAGACAGCAGAGTTGTCACTGGCCTAAGCACAGGTCCACAAGAGGCAGAAGGCAGTGTCATGTAGGGGCCAGGTCCTAGCGCAGGACTTAGCCAGACTGGAACCTGCAGAACATAGGAGGGGCCTCTGTGTGCCACCTTGCTCGGCCTCTGCTGGCTCAGGGGGCGGGGGTGTGGAGGGGTGGGGGGTGGGGCGGGCGCGCTATCCCCAAGCGGGTTGTACCGCAGGGGTTTGGGCCACAAGTCCTCTTTTTAATAATCTGGGCAACCTCGTCGGCCTCTGGGAGGTTGTGCTGTGAGAACCTGCTGAAAAGCTGCGAATAGTGTCCCAGTTCCTGTGGACCAGCACAGGGGGTTCCTTGGCCCTAGTACCATCGGATGAGAGGTGCAACTGACACCACCAGTCCTGAGGATCTGCCCTCGCTCCTTCACGAACACCTTGTTCCAGAAGGGGTTGTTCCAAAAGCGTAACTTGAACTTGGTGCGCGTCCTGGCATGCCTGAGCTCCCTCACCTCCAAATTCACCAAGTACCAGCGCATGTCTTCATCACGCAGGCTGATCATGGCTGACAAATGCGGGTGGTTCAGAAAGGCAGTGACCCAGAAGCCTGAAATATTCTGGATGAAGCGTCTACGGACCAAGTGCAGACAGCGCATGCGTCCAAACCGGCGCTCCAGCCGCAGGTAGGGCCAGTCGGCCTGGGCACTCACAGCCTCCAGTTCCCACTGGAGGGGCTCCGCGGCTGGGCCTTCCAGGTTTCGGGGTCCCGCTGCACCGCCGCTCCCACCTCCAGGTCCTCCTCCCCCACCAGCCCCTCCGCTCCTCCGCCCCTTCCAGGAAGATGGCTCCCTGCCCAAGCGTCACTTCCTCGGCCTTCCCGCCGCCTCCTCACCGCGACCTCCCCCGCACCCCCCCACCCCACAACCTCCCCCGCACCTCCCCCACCCGCCAACCTCGGCGCAGCGGGTCTCAGGGGCGTCGGCTGACCAGGCGGCTTCCCGACGCCCCATGAGAGGCGGGGCGGTCCCGGGGGCGGGGCGCCCGCGTGCAGCGGCTTCGCCAACCCAGCGGCAGGGGGCGGGCGGCGGGCGCGTGGCCCTAGGCCCCCCGCCCTCCGGTCCGCCATCACCTTCGGGAGCCTCTGGCCTGGAGGGGCTCGGGCTGCGTGGGCGACACTGCAGGCCCCGCGGGAGGGGCGGCGCGGCGGCTACGGGACAGCGGCGGGAAGTGGGAAGGCGTGGTCTCCTCCTTGGGGCGCGCTCCGCTCTTCGCGTCCTCCGGGGTGTGATTCGCAGAGGTAGCCTGGCTGCCTGGGACGAGGGTCCTGCCGGCCTGGCTGAGTGGCATGGGGCTGCCTGGTGGGGATGCGACCGCAGGCGCCAGACAGAACTGGCCCCACAGTAGGGCGCTGGCGGTAGAGGTGGCGTGAAGTGCTGGGGTGGACCAAGCAAGGAGTAGCTCGGAGTGGGCACCAAGGACCAGGCACCAATCTGGTCACAGACAGATAGAACTTTCCATCACAGCCACCACGCCGGGCGATTACTCTTCCCGACATGGACACTGGGGGCCACCTGGCGCCCACACTCGACCGCAGTTTGGGCGCAGCTGTAGGAGACTTGTAGCTTTGCACATGGTAAATGACTCAAGCATGTGCAGAAAAGACTAAGCAGACTCAACCTGGGAGCCGCAGACGTGGAGGTGCCTGAAATACTTCTCTGGAGAAAGGAAGAAACAAACGGGAGTACAAGGATCCGGGGCAAGGGAAGCATATTGGCTTCTGTATGGCAACCGTGAGCATAATGGCATCTGTATGTACAAACTGTATCTCCCTGGGCTTGTAGACTGAAAGATGGACACTGTTTCACCTTGCCCTTACGCACAGGGGCCACCTCTTGTTCTATACCAGACATTTCACAAATGTGAACTCCAGTCTCAGGGGCAGGGGATGTGCTTGGATAGGATAAGAGCCTGGAAGGACCAGCCATGCAGCCCTGATCCTGCAAATGCATCTGCTCTCCTGTGGTCTTGGCTCCCCCAAACTCGTGGCTTATGGAGGTCAACACACCTAGTGCCTCCTCCGCCTGGAAGTCCCTGCTACTTCCTCTGGAAAGCTTTCATTTTTTTTTTTTAATGTTTTATTTATTTCTGAGAGAGAGAGAGAGAGGCAGCATGAGCAAGGGAGGGTCAGAGAGAGAGAGAAGGAGACACAGAATCTGAAACAGGCTCCAGGCTCTGAGCTAGCTGTCAGCACAGAGCCCGACTCCGGGATCGAACTCACGAACTGTGAGATCATGACCTGAGACGAACTCGGACGCTTAATGGACTGAGCCACCCAGGCATCCATCCTCCGGAAAGCTTTCAGTCTCCTGCCCAATGAATAAGGTAGCTCTGGGCCCCCAGGCCCATCCAGGGGTATACACTCCCTAGAGAGAAAGGTGTATTCCCTTGGGGCTCTAGCTAGGGATCTGACCCACTGGGGTGGGCATTGAATCTTTGTTACATAAATGGAAGGCCAAAAGAAATGAAGGGCTAGTCCACTGCCTTTGTACAAAAAAACACCTGTAACACATATTAATGTCCCATGGACTCTTGGGCTGGACTCAGGACCGCGTGGCTATGGACAATGGCTCGAGACCACAGAATAGCAAGCTCAATCTGAGCCCTGGAGAGGAGCATCTCAGTACGAGTTGCAGGACCTAGGATGCTGAGGACTACCTGTTAGAGACTGGCCACGGAACAAGGCCAGAAGCCACGTCAGCATTTCAAGTTTGTCTGAACGCAGTGAGTAGGCACAAGTATGACAAGGTCAGGGCCTAGCTGTCACTTGCCAGATGTGCACCGTGGGCAATGGATGACATCTGTCTTCTCTTGGACAACCAGTATCCATTCTTCATCCTAACAGTAGCCCCAATTTCCTTTGAGAAACTACTCGTATCTTAGCCTTACGGTTGCTGGCCGGTTTAGGGGAGAGCAGAGCCCTATCAAAGCCAGTGAGACAGAAGATGCGAGGGGCGGGGGGGGGGGGGGGGGGGGGGGGGGAGGCTTTTGCAAATACAAGGACTCCTCTCTCCTTTCTCTTCCTGGTCAGCACTGAGAATGAGATACAGAGTTTTGACAGCATTCTACTCCTACACAAAGGGATGAGCCACTTTTGTAGGGCCCGAGGATGAATTCACAACTACACAAGAGGGCAGAGAGAAATAGGAATGACCAACCATGTTTCAGTTGCTGGATCCATCCTGAAGACTGCTACATCTGGCATTTTTAGTTAAATGAGATTTTCATTGAAGCCAATTTGATTTTTCTGACTCTTGCATCCAAGTTTAAGCGATGGTATGATGCCACTTACCTCACCAAGATCTTTCATTTCAAAGTATAAGGTCTGCAGGTGCTAATGTGAAGGCTTGCTACTGTCTGCCCTACACTCCCCACCCCCTTGGATGCTAGAGATGTCTGGAGTTTCCGGCTCTTCCCCAGGCACTCTCCAACCCTTTCCCAATCAGACAGGTTCACAACTTCCAAACGCATCATTCAGAAGTTTTTAATAAACAACTTCATTATAAAAACTTTTTTTGAAAATGTAATTCTGTAAAACATTGAAAAATCTACTTTAACAAAGATACGCCCTGTGCATTTTCTAATGGCACTTATATTTTACAATTAAAAACCTTGTTTTATATAAAGCCAAAAATACTCCAAGAGGTTATTCACTGTGTTTACAAAGTGCTAGAAGGTTTTTGTCTTGTATTTTTCTCTTTAAATAATCTGGCGTTACAAAAGAGTGGCCCCAAAGCCTTGATCACCGGGAGGGAGGGAGGCAAATGAGAAGTGGGGTCTCAGGAGTTCTAGTGCCAAGTACTTAGAGGTGGAGAGGGGCAGCCACGGAAGTGAGCTTGTGTCGGAAGAAACTGGGCTGGGACACTTCTTCCAACCCTCTCCACAGAGGCGCTACATTACCCTGGTGAATCCTCCTGTTAGAACCGGACACCCTTTCCCTTGCCACAGACCCTCCTCTCCAGTGGTGAAGGTCATAGCCAGTTCCTTCCACAGCAGGTTCAGAGCTCCAGGAGAGGCCAGGGTGAGGTCCCAGAGGAATCTGGACTTTTCTGGCCAACACCTGCCTAAGGCAAAGTTTCTTATTACATAAATATCCTTGTTAAAAAGCAAAATATTGATCCTGTACAATATAAACTGTTAAAAAAAATCGTGCTTAAAGACAGCTCCTAGATAAGAGGGAAGGTAGAGGGAATGGGGAAACAGCTACCAAAAAGAAAGGGGGGCAAGATTCAGACTACTAGGAGTTTAGGGCAGTGGAAGAATTTCAACTTAGGATAATATCTACGAGCAAAAAAGTAATCACACCTGCTTCCCGGATTTCCATTAAATGCCATTTGTAAAAGGTTGGGGGGAAACTCATTGGTGCTCCTTTTCCCACCTCTCCCCTCTTTAAAAGATGTGCACAGATCCTGAGCTGACACAGCTGGGTAGTTAATCCCCTAGCCCCCAGGACTGCACTCGACCTTGACCAGCTATGTGCAGGATGCAAGGTGCCTGCCTCCTGTTCAGGGCAACTCATCGCTGAGAGAGGCTGGAGGAGGTGGTGGGGAAAGGGGTCATCACCCCTTTTTCCTGGTCCCTGTTTGGTCTCTGCCACTTGCCATGGCTCCTGTCCTGGGCAGACACCCCTCAGGCTCTCATGGCCTCAGTAAAGGTACTGAAGTGGGTTTGGTACTGAATGTAGGATAAAGCTATTCTTATCCTTTGAACAACCAGGCCAATAAGGCTTTTTTTTTTTTTTCTTTTTAAATTTGGGGAAGGGAAATTTAAGAAACAGCTGGGTGACTATGGTCCAAAAAAAGGTAAAGGCAGATGTTCCTCTGTACCAGCAAAGTTCACAGTGAGAGGGAAATTCCTTGTGTGGGGTGAGAGCACTGAAGGAAGAGGAAAGGAGAGGCAGGATGGAAGGAGGGGAGAAGGGGCAAGGCCCCACTTCCAAGGCTTTAAATAGTTCCTCTGCCTGTTAGGAGGTTCCCAGCATCACTAATGGGGGAGAGAATTCAGGAAGGGACAGGAGAGGGCAGGCAGGGAAACATGGACTCTTTAAGCCTGAGATCTTATATTCCATGGCCAGAGGCCCACTTGCCTCTAGAAATGAGGGGTGCAGGGAAGGTGGCAGGGAGCGGGTGGAGGGTTGCTGGGTCTAGAGATGAAGACCAGAGACAATAAGGAGAATGGCAGCACGGAGTCCTGCTTGGATCCTCACGTACCATTTCCTATAATACGAGTCCCAGTAACATGCACAGCATGCAGGAGGTGGCTGCGTACCGAGGTGGACGCTTTTAAAAATAAACCTTAATTAGTCCCTGGGACTCACTGAAATGAATTTTTAGAAGCAAATCACCTAGTCTGATCCTAACCTTGCCAGACATTTTTATATCTTTTTTTTTTTTTTTTTTTTTTTTAAGTATTCCAAGCTACCCTGCCTAAATCAAAACATGCGAATTCACTCCACATTGCTTCCCATCAAGGACCAGGGAGCTACATTTTAAGGCTTCCACCTCAAAAAGTACTGGCCTGGGCTGAAGCAAAAGCCTGGGTCTTGGACCTGCTCAGTTCTCGATGATAAAGCAAAGTGATTTCTAGAAGGAAGGGGGGGGAGTGGTAAGGACTGGGCAGAGGCCGAGGCAGTTCCTTGGTAGTTTGTCCTGAAACCCTAGTGGAAAAGCCAGCATGAGGCACCGCTGAGAGAAGTGCCTAGAAACTACTGGCTGCATGTGTAGAAGTTAACAGTAAAGAGGTAGAAGTGTGTTTCTGAATCAGAGTGGAGGTGTCTCATGAGGGTCCCACACTGGTGGTCCCTGAGCTGCCTCCCTTCCGTGCGTGGCGAGAGTAAAACCCGTGCAGAACTGAGAAGTGAAGCAGGGATGGGGTTCGGCTGGGCAGGGGCTGTGTTTGCTGTGGCAGGGGGCCCCACAAGCCAGAAGAGAAGGGAGTCATCTGTTGCAAGAAACCCTAAGTACTGGGGGCAAATTGAGGGGGGCCACAAGAGGATGGGATTTCTTTGATGGGGAGCAGAGAGGCCTATGCACAGTGGCCCTGAGTCCACGGTAACTGCAAAATAGAGGAGAGGCTACACTGTGGATAAGAGAAAAGGTCAGTATGGGAGCCAAAGGCGTACCCACAGGCTAGGACTCAACTGTCTGCCCAGCCCTAACTTCCTAAAGACTCTTCTTCCAACAATTCCACAACTTCCTAGAAAAGGGACAAGCAGGAGAGGCGCAAATCAGGGGTTCACACCCTCTCCTTTGCTATCCAACCAGCTTAGAACCCGAGTCCCTCCTTCCAAG